GTACCTATGAGTCTTGTATAGACTACGTCATTCAGTAACCTACTCATTATACTGCAAACAACCACGAAAGTTCTCAGTCAATCCTGCCTCACCTGTGTTAAGATTAAACCTGAAGGGGGAAGAACCTTATTGATACTGTAGTACACCAGATTTCAGCAGTTTTTCTTTCCAGGTTTGTGGCTGAAGTGAAAAAGTTGCCATGCATTTTCACAGTTCATGTCCACGAGAATATTTCTTCTAGACTTAACAACTTTCTCTGACAACCATTTAATCCTAGTGCCTAACTATTCCTCATGGTCATAAGTCCTTCAACCCTTGAAAATGCCATTTCCTCAAATACAAAGCTTCAACTTAATAAAACAAGAATTCAGAAGTTCACAGACAAATACATTTACCAGAGAAAGCAGACACCAAATTTTATCCTTCCTACTTGCTCTGTGGTATTATTAGTTTCAATAAGTTTCCATCAAATAACTGGATAGGAACCTCCTGATAAATGGAGGCTTACTAATAAAAGGTATTGTAGAGAGAGAGTTTGACATAAAGAGAGAGAGATCAGATGCACATTGCACAAAGTAAAACAATCTTTATTCCACTCAATCAACAATGAATGTTAAATAGAAGTGAAAATGAAGTTTTTTAACTGGAGAGAGACGTGAATTTTAAGTTCTTATCTTGAATTATATTCATTATATACTAACAAGACTGACATTCTTCTCAGGATGAAAGCACTCACAATGGCCACTTTCACTTGAAAAACAGGGAAGTTTTATTCTTGGGGCATCACCTGACTTCTCAGTGAAAAAAAGACTATTACTAATTTCAATACAGTATTTTTGACATTACAATAATCTTTCCCGTGAGAAAGTACATGTGACACCCTTTGTTGACTGGCCTAGAGTTCCATGAGTAACTAAGGAGAAAGGAACTTAGTGGCTTCCATGACTGACATACTATATTAAGACTCAATATTTTGAAAATTATATATATATATATACCAACTAAGGTGGTAGGAAACACATAGTGTGCCTACATACCACACCGTGATGAATTCTAAAGATCCATCTAAAATATTATTCTATAAAAAATACAAAGTTCAAATCCAAACTGATGGTCAACAATGGGGTAGGTGTTGACATTTGAGGAAACAGATATTGACTTCTATATCACATTGCTATATTATATTTTCACCACATGATTCACAGCCAACAAATATTACAGATAGAAGAACTTTATTGAAAGGGTTTTATTAAGGTAATAACGTTTCATTAGTACATTGCCTATGTCATAAATTAAAAATGAAGAATGAGCTGACTTCTTTACCCATATGAACTAATACTTTGTATGAAAAATTTAATGTTATAGTTTTACCAAAAACTTTTAAGTTGAAAGCCCTAATGAACTAATAAAAAGATGATAAAAATGTCATCTGCAAATCCATTTATGATATATATCTACTACCTCAAAATTGGTACTGTAATGCTTGAAGTTTTATCAATATTTGCTTCCAAAATTGAATGATGCATCATTATCCACATATTCAACCACTAGAAGCATTAAAATTGTTCCAAGAACATATTATGGGTAGAAGTTTGTAAATATAAACCAAACCATACCATATCTAATAAGTCATAACACAATATAACAAACAATGAAATATATTTAATTCAACTACATTTCCATATACAATATTTTGTTCCTTGTTCAGTTTAAAAAGTAATTGAAGAATGCTGTTTTGAAAAACTTTACGATAAACAATTTTCAGGAACACTAAAAAAAGCTGTTGAAAGATTCTTCAAAATTAGATATTGGTAGGAAGAAAAAAACCATATTTGATACATGAAGTAATGATCTTGTTCATGGCCAATGTGGTCCAAACACTTGATTTCCACCTTTTACTCCTCTATTCCTCCCACCCTTCATTCCCACAAATTTGGGTAGTGAAAATTTCTTTTGTTTTGGCTTTTGCCATGGCTCTAATACTTCTGATTGTTCCACTTGTGAATTTTTCTGTTGCTGTGCTTCTAGGTTCAACTGTTGTTCTTCTTTACCAAGTTCCAATTCTTCATTCCCTGGTAACTGCTGTTGTTGACCCTGTTGAGTCTGGCCCCATGGTAACTGTTCTTGTTGACCCTGTTGAGTCTGACCCCATGGTAACTGTTCTTGTTGACCTTGTTGAGTTTGACCCCATGGTAACTGCTCTTGCTGACCTTGCTGAGTCTGACCCCATGGTAACTGCTCTTGCTGACCTTGCTGAGTCTGACCCCATGGTAATTGCTCTTGCTGACTTTGTTGAGTCTGACCCCATGGTAATTGCTCTTGCTGACTTTGTTGAGTCTGACCCCATGGTAACTGCTCTTGTTGACCTTGCTGAGTTTGACCCCATGGTAACTGCTCTTGCTGACCTTGCTGAGTCTGACCCCATGGTAATTGTTCTTGTTGACTCTGACCCCAGTTGTTCTGGCCCTGTTGATTATTTTGCCTTTGTTGCAATGACAATGAATTATAATCTTCTTTGCTTGCAGCACAAGGAGTGCACTGACAATCTGTAGGTTGCTGGAACTTTCTTTTTACTGTCTCGCCATCTTTACACTGCAGATCCACTTCTCGAGCTTCCCACGACACTGCTTGACAACACTGGCATTTATTCTGGAAGTACTGTTTATCTGTGGAATAAAAAAAAGAGAAGAATAAGTAACTGTCTAGAATAGCAAAACAAAGATAATGTCAGTGTGACTAGAAAGCCATTTATGATTGTAAAGATTATAAATAGTTAGATGTAAAATAATCCAAGCTAAGACAAAAAATAATTAGATTATGAGTACACATTGCAGGCTCAAGAAATACAATTG